TTGGTAGATCAGGCGGAGGACGGCGCGGGTAGAGAAATTCGCGCATGATGGACCCTTAATCGACTATGTGTTTTTTCGGTAGTCGATTAAAGTGTTAATCGAATGTTTTGGTAGTCGATTAAGGTTACTTGATTTCATTTTTTTAATTCATTTTTGGATTTTATTTGTATAACTCAATTGCAATTTATGTATATTATTTGTTATGTAAAAATAGTTGTGATTTTTTTATTTTATAGTAGTCAGTTTCTTAATCGACTATGCTTATATCTCATAGTCGATTAAAACACCTGATAGAAAATAAAAAAGTTAAAAAAATTAAAAAAAGTAAAAAAATTAAAAAATAAATAAAAGGCTGATGAGGTTGCAGGACATAATTGGTTATACTGTTGATGAGGTGGAAGGGACATAATTGGAAAAATGGGTGGATGAAATTAGGAAGGGACTTTTCTCAAATGGTGCAAAATAGTTAAGGTATCACCCTATTAAAAGAAGTATTGAGTGAGTTATATCAAAGAGTCCCTAAAGAAAATACGTTATTATTTTCTAAGGATGCTTGGATGGTAATTGTTGACGTCATAAAAAAAATTAAGTGAACTACCTATTTTAGAGTTGGACATGGGTTGGGTCGGACAATTATCGTCAATTACCTATCCGACTCGACTAATCGGTTTTGCTGAATATTGAAAATCATTACAGGCCCGATCATTATGGATCGAATAATAATTGGCAACCGACTTTGTTGGTTGGTATTATTATTATTTTTAATTTTTTTTTTAATTTTACAATAATAAGATGTTTTTAAAAGTTTTTTCAGAAGATATTCGAATTTTTGGAAAAACTTATACTGCAAAAATCTTAACTATAAAATTAAGAGTTTTTTTTTATTAAACTTCTACGATAAGTAAACATATAATGAAGAATATGAAATAATAATTATAAAACAAAAAAATATATTTGTGTTTTCGGATTTTGAGTTTTAACTTCTTTTAAAAATTATTTTAACAATACGAAATAAAGAATTACACTTAAATATTTATAATAAATATTTATTATTAAAAAAAGTCGGTTGGTCTACCGACCGATCCATTTGTATATGGGTCGGTTAAAATTACCGGTCCTGCTATATGGGTCGATTAAGTACCGGTTGTCGATCAAGAAAAGTGCATCGATTGGCCAATAAAACCAACATATGCCAAATTCTAACCTAGTTACCATTGTAACCAATGTTGAACACTTTGACAATATTGATGGATTGTTAACCTTGATTTTGTGATGTTAAACTATGAGCATAAATTTCATCTATTCCATTTGGGCTTATAAACGGAACTATGTAAAAAATGAAAGTTTGAATAATATTTTATCTTAAAGGTGATTTAGGTGAAATTAAATTTAATTGTGTTCTAAAGCGTGTGATTAACACCGTAAGTCCATAGTTTCCGATCTTAACAAAATTATATTAAAAACTCTAAGCATTAACTTATTCAATTATAATTGTGTTCAACTAGTATCAAAAATCAATATTATGTTGCTGAGAATAATCATAACAATCTTTTTGTAAATATCCAGAAATAAGTAGTACTAGGATACCGACATATATAGAGACAAGAATTCAATGTTTGAATCTATAGAAATTTAAAAGGAAATTATTAAGACCTATTTAAAAATAAAGACTATTTAAAAATTGAAATGCTAAATCACACACGAAAATTACCGAATCACGCACATAAAAAAAAAAAAAAAAAAAAAAAAAACCTACTCGTCTTCTATCACAAAATCAGACACAAAATATTGCAAGTTGAATTTGAGAAAAATCTTCACAAATTTATGCTACATTTAAGATAATGTTCTATCATTTGCTACTAATTTCATGGTTGGAACGAATTCCTAACAATTTAGCCTTTTTTTAATGGTTTTTCCGAAAACAAAAAATAAAATAAAATAAATTGCATGTGAGAAGCAACCAGCACCGGAGGTGGTAATGCTGCCATAGAGATGCAGAAGGAGGGTGGGTGGGGGAATACGATGCTACACCCGGTGATTTTCACCGGGTGGCTTTTTTCTTGACATGTGTTCTTTTTTATTTATTTTATAATTATATTTCTAAAATCCATTGGGCCATAACTGAACCCGTAGTGGGAATTTTATTAATTAGGGTGCCCGGTTATATTCACCAGGTGTAGCATAGAATTTCCCGGTGGGTGGGGGTGCTGGGCAGTGGGGATGGCGTTAGGGGTTAGATTTTTCTTTTTTCAATTATTTTTTAATTGGTTGATTATCTCATTAAATATTTAATTTTGTTAATTAGATATTTAGCTAAAGTTATTGACATGTTAAAACAATAATTAAAATACTTATTAAATATTCAATAATTGTTTTTATAATTTATATATAAATAAATTAATAATTATTTAAAAATGTTTTATATGATTATTTAATTTATAAGTTATAACTAGGACCAGAAATTGAGCAGGGCTAATCAAAGTCCGATGACGCGGCCCGATTATATTTGATCCGAACCTAATTTTTAGTGTGAAGGAAGAGTTTGAGCCATTTTATTAAAGCCGGTTCATTTATAAGCTGAATTTGAGCCTATTATGCCTCAAACCGAATAAGGTCAATAATTATGTTAATAATTAAATATATAATATCGTTATTATTTTAATGATACGGCTCAACATACAAGTTACAACCGTATTAGATCATTTTATTTTTTTATAGTAAAAAACAAAAGTAATTAATTGGACTATGATGCGTTTTTTGTTATATAATTACTTTTTTGGATTAAACATTTGCAACATGAAAATTCATTTGTTTCAAGGAACAGACTATTGTTTCTATCTTATTTTACTTTTATGAACATTCTAAATTTTGTTCTTAGGTTTCGAAGATTCTTTTTCTTTTTTGAATGCGTCCGGCTGCAAATTATGTAATTTATATATTGCTCGATATAAATCCGATAGAAATCCAAGCCCGAAAAAATATATAATCCGAATTTGAGTCTATAGTAATGAGGTCCGATGATATGTGAGCTTAGGTTTATAATAATGATGACCGACGATATGTGATCTTAAGCCAACACAAACTCGCCTCACATGACCCGATTACCAGCCATACTTATAACCATGACGTTGTCTCGTGCAAATGTGTAGTATTTGTATCATTGAAGCCTTTCATCTCTAATAAATTCTTCAAAATGAATTTATGTTGGTTTTTTTACCAGAAGATCTTTTTTCTTTCTCTTCTTCAAATAATATTATTTTACTTTTAAGATTCTATATATAGAAAAACACATTTTGACATGATTTAACTTCTATAATATTATATATTTTTATAATATAAACAAATATTATTTTCTAGAAATTGGATATGCTCGGGAGGAAGATCAATAATATCTTTTCCTCACAAAGTTTGAGATTTTCTTCTTATGCTCAAACTCCCATCTTTAAAAATCTAATAAGATAATCTAAAATAATTGCTTAAAAAAAGACAAAAAAATATATGCAGAGATCTTGATATTTTGAGATGTGCAATGTATACTATTAATCAATCATTATAATAATAAGCTAAAAATAAATACAATTAATTGCATATAGAAAACAAAAATCAATTTATCATATACGATGACCTAGTTGACGGACCAAGAGAGGCCAGGTGACTCACTGAGTCAAATAATTTGAGGTGGAATTCATTTTGCCAACGTATTTTATGTGACAAAACTTGTCAGGCACAGTTGATACATACATGTTTTACACATATAGTTTACAAATTATTATACATAAATGAAAATTTAGTACGCCTATATAGTTGTTTGCAATTCTTTTGTTATTATTATAAAACTTATTTAACATAAATAAATGTACTCATATTTAATTTATATATATATATATATATATATATATATATATATATATATATATATATATATATATATATATATATATATATATATATATATATATATATATATATATATATATATATATATATATATATATATATATATATATATATATATATATATATATATATATATATATATATATATATATATATTATGGATACTTGGTTAATATTACGATCACGAGCATAGACCACAGCCACCCGTTACGCGGGACCCAGCAAAGTCTTCACAAAGTATTGTCAATTTTTTTTATTTTTTTTTTGAAGAATAAAGTATTTACAATTTATACATGGGTGGAATTGGAAATAAATTTCTAATTTCCATTGATTTAAGCCCAAATTATTTGTCACTTTAGAGTTCCAATAAGATATTAATATCATTTTTATCAATTTTGCCCCTTATCAATCTTATTAGTTAATTAAAAAATAATTAATGACAAGGGTATTTTAATATTTACTATGTTATTTTTGGTATAATCTGTGCATATTTATTGACTATCTTAATCTACGAGTAATCACTCAAAACGTCATATAAAATGGGACGGAAGGAGTAATTATGATCAGATTCATCCGATTTAGGGTCCGTTTGGCTAAGTTTGTTTTAAACATCTGATAAGCTTTTACGTCTCATAAATTATTTTAAGAGCAGATAAACTGTTACGTCTTATTTTAGGAATTAATTATTAAAATGTTTGGATGATGAGCTTGTAAACTATTTTTACTCATTATAAGATCTTAAATAAAAATGTATGGTCAAAAAAATTATTTGCTCTCTAACAACTTCTAATTTTTGAATTTTTAAGATCTTTTTTTTCAAAAAAGGAAGATATTTTTAAAATAAATTACCAAACACACTTTGAAAGAGCTTACAAGCACTTAAACAACTTATAAGTTCTTAATACCAGCTTATAAGCTTAGCCTAACACCTTTCACTTGTCATTGTCCCTTGTGTACTCTTATCTTCTTCTATCTAAACATTTGGATGAAGGCATTATCTGAAAATACAGTTGCATTGCATCAATAATTAAACAAGGGATTGGTTTAATTAATTACATCTTAAAAACTAGAATTATATGTACAAAGTAGATATGAAACATACATATATATGTATGTTTCATAAAATACTTTTATATATATATATATGTATGTATATATATATAGATATCATTTAAACTACCACCATGTTTGGCTCTAACATATCTCCATGACCCAAATTCATCAGATCTTCAATAATCTCCTGTCCGAAAAATGTTGATCCAAATATTGTCCACAATTCAATCAATGCCAAAAATGCCCCCGCAAAAATTCTCTTCATCATCAACGATTCTCGAACCAAACGTGCCCCAGCGAAGACGAATGCAATGACCATGGTCCCACCTAAAACCACGAACATCCCGGAGAAAGGCCCCGAGTCTAATCGGATATCATCTAATTCACTAGTGATGCTAGTTGATGGTGTAGAAGTGCAGTTGCAAAGTTGAAGCATGTTTTGCTCTAACTTATTCACATATCCACTTTGTGTTACTCTCAAAATTGCTTCAGAAATATCAGTCTCTAGTTGGGATCCCTTTGGAAAAACCTAATTGAGATGCAAAAATATAAGAGATAGAGAGAGAAAATTTGGTTAGGACAACTGAAAAAAGAACAACAATGTTACATTATGGTGTGAAGTTTATTGCAATAGTACTCGTGTGTTATACTGAATTACTAAAATACTTCTCGTGTTATAAATATTAGCAAAAAACTACATGTTTTATATGGTGTCTTTTTAGCGGTATTTTGCTAATAAAATTGGATCATGGGAGAGGATTCTGCTACTATCTATAACACGAGGAGTTTTTTGGGGGGAGTTAGATGCTACACCTGGTTATTTATATTTGATGGATTTGAACCGTAGATTTGAACACCTGGTTATTTACACTTGATGGATTTGAACCGTAGATTTGATTCAGTAACTACCCACTAAGTACACATAAACATGAATGTGTGTGATTGTATGTAGATCTACGATTCAAATCCACCTAGCGTAAATAATCAGGTGTAGCATCCAACTCCCCGTTATTTTGCCAATTAAAGTAATCAAACACATGGGTATTAAATGCAATAAACCCTTATAATGGATTTTTAAAACTATTGTCAGTTATATTCTTCAGTTTGTACCCTTTGTATTTTCAGTTTAGTTTGTTTTTGTTTTGTAATGCAAAATAATTGACAAGAAAGATGAGAATTTCGTAACTTACGAATCCGAAGCCGCCTAGTTTGATACTAGGCCCCGATATGGTGTAGCCTCTGCAGTACTCTGCGAGGAAAATTTTGGCATGTGGGGCCACAAAGAAGGCCGCTTTGATCTCGCCGCTTTCGAAAGCTTTTGGGTATTGGTCGATTGAGTCGATTTTTCTAACGTTCTCTCGCTTGAAATGTAGAACGTCTATCAGGTACCGTACAATGAACGAGTTCCCATTGCATCCAACGGCTGCATTTGTGTTGCGTAGATAATCTATCTCTTGGAATGACGGTTGGATCCTCGGAACAGTCATCATCGTACTCAGGACAGCTGTAAAACTCGCCCCGACAACAAAAACCACACATATCCAAGCTGCGAGCACAAGCTGAGATGCACCATTCTTGATATTTTGTCCTGCCGAAATGACGAAAATAACCTTACAAACTAGAAAATTGATTTTCAACATCCATATTTCCCGAGTTTCGATACTAGCTAATACTTGACTCATTATTATTTTTTTTTTAATTTGATTTTGACCCTTTGAGTATATTAAATTATTCTTCCTTGAAGTTAGCTCTAATTACATATAGACCCCTAATATTTCAAAAAAATTGCAGATATCTCAAATAATATATAAAACTTACTCTGTGAAAATGACATAATAGTGACTGAAAACCACATAATGGATCCAACGATTCCAACGAACGAGTCATTGGTGAATTGGTCGTTGCCCGTCGAGTATTCGCTTAGCCAGATGATGGCCCCCGTGGACATGCTCATAGCTGCAAGCATGAGCCACATGTTCATGGTGAAGGGTCTTAGAGGTAAGGTTTTCGAGTCTTTTAGGCCCGGTTTTACGGTCACCACCATTTGTAGCCCGGACTCGATATAAGGCTGCGTAAACGAGGCGTACGCGTAACGCTCCGCCATTATTTCCGTATCTCCCACCGCTCCATCCAAGCTCTGTTATCGAAACAATGAAAATATTAGAAATATGATTCAATTTATGTAGTTCGGGTTTATTGCATTTAGGACTCATATTTTTACTCTAATTGTCAAAGAACTCCCCCAAGTTATAAATATTAGCAAAATCTCCCCTACATAAGGTTGTGTGCTAAAAAAATGTATTATAGGGAGTTACGTTTTGTTTGCTAATATTTATAACACGAGAAGTTTTTTAATAATTCAGTATAATACAAAGGTACTAAATGCAATAAATTCTTATGTATTCAAATATAAATGTCATCATACCTTGTTGTGAACCTCGGCCACCATTTCATCGTACGAACCGTAATAGGGGACCAATACGTAGTGGAAATCGTAGGGTAGTAGCTTCACTGCAGCTTTAAAAACATCGATCGAAAATCCAAAAATTCGAGTTTGATTCCGGCCATTTTCATCCGTGGTAACAATCACATGCACAAACTGCTTGAATGCACCATTTGCAGGCACACCTATCCTCATAGGGTTCTCTTCGCTCCCCATACTCCGGCCCGTCGGGACGGTTTTCTTACCACCCGGCCAGAAAATCGGACTCAATTCCTCCGAGAAACCAAAATCCGGCGACCAAGTGGCCATTTCTCTATAGCCTCTACCAATCACATTGAAGATCCGAAAAACGGGCTTATGCGAAAGAAAACCGTTCTCGAAGCTTATTCCACCGCTAAGGCCTTGAAAATCGCTCGACGAAATTTTATCCGATAATTCTATCGGATCGTAGATCTTTCCTTCTGGAAACTTCCGGAAGGCCTCAACGAGTGTATGCATTGCATCGTAAGCACGAAGAGAATATAACCCCGGGTTTGACTTCTCTTCTTCGGGTGGATATTCTAATCCGTATTTCCCTCTAAATTTCGATTTGAATCCTCTAAAGTACTCGTTGGTGTCATCGTAATCCGACTTCAAACCTATAACACCTTGCAAGTTGAGCATAACCGATAAATCAAGAGAATCAAGAAGATTCGCAATCTCATCCGATACAATCCAAACGTAGCCTTTCTCCATCATCCCTAACAACTTCGCCTTCTCGAATAAGATGACCGCAAACTCCAAAGAAGACTCCCCCAACACAAGAATCTTCACATTCTTGCTTTTGACCCTTTTGAGCTCTCGTTCGACGAACGCGATTGGATCCAACATAGACGAGAGGCGAGGGAAGGGGAAGTGGTGGTCAATGGAGGAGTCGACGGCCCGTAGCGAGTCCGAGAGGCGGCTGAAGATTCCGGAACCTTCCGAGAAGGCGGTGCTTCGGCCTTGCTCGTGTATGAGTATCACTTTTTTCCATCGGAAACGGGAGACGATCGAAGCGATGCATTGCGTTCGGTACGAGTTTGGAGAGCTGATTTGGAAGAAGAATCGGGTTTTTTTCGGTGATGTTTGTTGTTGTAGGGGTACTATTGAGGTTGATGATGGTGAAAGGGAAATGATTGGGATGTCTTTTGTGGATGTTTTGAATTGTGAGAGAAATGCAGCTTCTTGGAGTGTTATTGAACCAACAATGGCGTCGAGTTTAGTGTGGCTGGCTAGATCAAATGCTGAAACATCATACACATAAATGGATTAATTTAATAAATTAAATAAATTAAAATTAGTTTGCAAGCACTTTTTTTTTAAGAGTGGTTTTCCAAAGTATCTTAATTCACAACTGTTTCTTATATTCACTTAATCTTCATGTGTTCTAAGTTATTTTTATTTTATTTTTTTAATAAAATATTTATTACAAGATATTTAAACTTTCATATCAGATGCTCTTGCAGATTATGTTACTCTTTTGTTTTTTATGAAATAAAATTATATTAAGCCAAATTGGTCATTTGTAAAGGAAGATCAGGACTTTCCATACATGCACTATTAATTTATTTCTCAAAGAACGTGAATTCCTGCTCTTTTTGACTATCTGAGATGTTTTTCTCTGATGAAGGTATTGGTCACTTAAAGTGGAGAGGGTGCGATTTTGTGATAAACATTACAGTGAAAAATGGTTAAGTTTTTTTATAAATATTTTAATTAGTTTAATTAGTGGTAAACGTTTTATAAATTTGTACACAATATAAGTTAAAGAAGAAGAAATTGGTAAAATAGAAAATATATTCAATTTGGCGGTGAAATAAGATATTTTAACTGAGAAAATAGGATGTCTCTTTTTTAATTAGATTATTAACATGCCAATTTTTCAACACCTAGTTAAAATAAATTTGATCCTAGTACAAGTAACCAATCAATGAAGGAGAGAACACATGCACTGGACCACTACATACCAAAACTTCAATTTTGTCAACAAAAAATAAAATAAAAATTTAAGTTTGCTTCTACACTAAATTCTTTACTTAGAAGCTGAAGCTAGATATTAATATCCATTTTAAATGAAAAAAAAAAAAATTCAATCAGCAAAGAAAACAAATAGATCTTACCAGCAGAAGCTGCGTTTCCATGTGAATCTTCGATGTGGAGAACCAGGTTCGGACGACAACGGTCATTAAAATCTCGGACAGCCAATTCAATGGCTACCTTTTGCTCTTTTCCGACTCGAGAACTCTGATCGATAACTACTCCCACGCTTACATTCGATCGAGGAGTACATGCTTCGCTTATAGAGAATAAGAACAAGCAATCCAACAAGAAACAAAAGTTGAGGATAGTAATAACATTATTCATGTTTCTAATTTGTTTTTCCATTTGATTAAACTTTTTTTTTAGGGAATTAATATTGCAAGTTGATTGAACATATACAGGGGCAACTAACCTACTACCAAGTAATTTACTTGCATTGACTATGATTGTATTATTCTATAATTCAAATGTCGTCACGACTTATTCAAGCCGATTTTCTATTTTATTTTTATTTTTTTTAATTAAGAAAAAGAAAAAAAATTAATCAACTGTCTATTATTGGCTCTTGAGATTAAATGATATTTTCAACTGGCTTGACAAATTAAATTGTTTACGTCGTTTCATCTCTAATGTCAGTTCTTGAATCAGATATTTTATTGGGGGTTATATATATAAAATAGTAGCTTAGAAAAATAATATTATTTCCAATACTTATGAGTTATGATCTACATATAAGCACTGCAGATTTGATTTATTTATTTGGAATGTAGTTTTCATGCTTTAAGTATTTTTTTATTTTATTTAGGGCTTCCATGCGAAAGGAACAAATAAATGTCAGAGTGAATTGTTTGGCTGTTATTTTTCGGATTTCCTTATCAACAGTTATGTGAAACTTATTACATATGGGTAGCCTAGTGTCGTTTACGTCTTTCATATGATCTGCAAGGTATTATACGAGAGTGTATGTTTACTGAATGCACTTATATGTTTGGTTGCCGATTACTTCATTATAAAAAAAAAAAATTTATTAGCAAAAGAAACTATAAACCTTTAATTTTGTTACACATAACATAGCCCTCTAATTTAAAGGCGAATGGTAAAAAAACCCATCATATGGGACTTAAATGCATTTTGGTCCATAAAAAAAACAGTCTCTCAATTAAACTCATCCCCATATCTTTAGTCTAAAATACCCTCCATAATATAATTCTTATCAATTCCATACATTATGCTCTAACTTCCTTAATATTACACATTGACCCCGGATTTAAACAAATATATCACATTAACCCCCCAATTTTTTTTTCAGAAATAATTTTTTCCGGCCAGATTCCGGCGTTGCCTTTTTTTTTTTTTTGAAAATTTTTTTTTTCGTGAAATTTTTTTTCGGTCGGTCAACCACCGTTGACCGCCGATCTCCGGCGTTGACTTTTTTTTTTATAAAAAAAATATTTTAATTAATATTACTGTCTTGGCTACTAAATTACTGTCTCAGACAGTAATATTACTATTTGGGACAGTAATATTATGAATATTATTTTCCCGAATAGTAATATTATTGTCTAAGACAGTTAAATTACTGTTGGATACAGTAATTTAGCAGTCAAGGCAGTAATATTAATTAAAATAATTTTTTTTAAGAAAAAAAATTAAAAAAAAAAAAGTCAATTAACAGTTAAATTACTGTCTCCGACAGTTAAATAACTGCTGGAGACAGTAATTTAGCAACAAATACAGTAATATTAATTAAAAATAATTTTTTTAAGAATAAAAAAAGTCAATTAACAGTTAAATTGCTGTCTCCGACACTTAAATAACTGCTGGAGACAGTAATTTAGCAACGAATACAGTAATATTAATTAAAAAAAAATCTTTTAAGAATAAAAAAGTCAATTAACAGTTAAATTACTGTCTCCGACAGTTAAATAACTGCTGGAGACAGTAATTTAGCAACGAATACAGTAATATTAATTAAAATATTTTTGAAGAAAAAAAAAAGTCAATTTACAGTTAAATTACTGTCTCCGACAGTTAAATAACTGCCGGAGACAGTAATTTAGCAGCCAAGACAGTAATATTAATTAAAATATTTTAAAAAAAAATTATAAAAAAAAAAAAAAAAAAAGTCAACGCCGGAGACCGGCGGTCTCTGGTGGTGGCGGGTCAAAATTGGGGTCAAAATTGAAATTATGGTTAAAATTGGTTAATTGATGAAATTGGGCTAAATTGGGGTGTAAATCATGAAATTGGAGTTAAATTGGATTTCAATGAATTGGGATTAATTTTGGTATATATAAAAGGATTTTGCTTATTTGCAAATAAGTTTGAATGAGCTGGATTTATTTGAAAGACAACAAAATTGGATGTTCCTCTTTTAATTAAGTACCCTTGTCATGGGTTTTTTTGTGATTTATCCCTAAATTAAATGTCGAGGTTAGTTTGCTAAAATAACTGAACTATAAGAAGGAATTTTCAATAAAAATAAAACATAATTCTTTTAACAAGTAGAATAAATAAAAAAACATAGAATTGCGAAATGCAATAAACCCAAAATATCAAGATAAAACTTCACTTGTGTGTATATTTTGTGATGGACTAGACTTGTGGGAGTCAACGGTCCTTTCTTTCTGGCTAATATATATTTTCGATTTACTTTGTGTAGGTGTGAAAATTGGATGGAGTGGATCGGAGATGACTTTTTTCGGAAGTAAAAAATGGGTAAAAAATTAACCGGAATGCAAAAATTCAAGATTTTAGAATGCCTCGGATTCGAAGCAAATTCGGATATAATGCAATTTTTCACAATACCTTTTGATTTTTTTTTTCAAAATTTTGCAGCAAAATGCAAATTCAAAAGAGGGACAAAACTCAATAAATAAAACCACATGTATGAATAACAAATTGAAACAAATTGAAACACATTTTCTAACATAAATTATATATTATATATGAAATTACAAAATATATCATAAAATTATATAGTATATTAAAAAACTCAATTGAAACAATTTGGAACTAAAATTAGATCGGAAATTGGAATTTCCAGTAATTTTATATACAATTCCGATTCCGTTTCAAATAAATTCGAAAAAATCGAAAATTGAAACTTCGAAAATACGGTTTCAAATTCGGATATTTTGAGATTGGAACTGGGTCAATCAGAGAGGCGTAAACCATACTAGGTTAATCATGTGTGACAAGCTTCAGCTAACGACCGTTAACAAGGTGATTCGAACTTAAGTCAAGTGACACAAGCTCACTTGCTCCAACCGCTAGGCCATCCATTGCGAGACAAAAATGTACTTATTTTAAACTCTAAAGATTAAGATTCATGAAATTAGTTCCAAAGTTTGAAACTTTTTGATAGGAAAACCGATGGATATCGAGAATTTCAATTATTTCTATTCTATAACTAGCATTTTTCCCCGTGCGTGCGATGCACATGATATTATTTCAAAATTGAAAAAAATAATCAATTTAATACATAAATAATAAGAAAATATAGTATACTAACATAGTAAAATTTAATAATGTAGTATTATTCATATTTTATATAACATTAGTTTTTTTAAATCCTGACATATTAAGATTTGTAATCCAAATATATAGATTAAGATTTAAAGAAACGTATTTCTATCTTTATCTCTTAAGATTTGAGATACATTGATGAATAATAGGAGATTGATAATTGTTGAAAACTATAGTTATAAAATTAGTAGACAAAAAAAATTAAAAATAAATAGTTACAAAAGTACCATTAGATAGGATTCTTCGGGATTTAGTTTCAATTTTGATAATTGTTAAAAATTATAGTTAGAAATTAATAGAGAAAATAAATATTAAAAATATTTAATTACAGAAATACCATAAGTGTTTTTTAAGGTTGCCCAACATTTCTTTCTTTTATATATAAGATATAAAATAATTAATAATATTGATATTATAAATCTACAAATGTAATTTTCCATAAAATTTTGGCATTTTTGTAAATTAATATTGTATCGAAAATCAAAATCTCGTTTGTATTTTAACTTCGATAAATTCTTCTTCTTTTTTTAATCATTTTAAATATAAAAAATAAAATGAAAAACAATAAATTCGTAAAGTATATGCTAAATGGCAAATATGCTCATGACAAGGGCACTTAATTAAAAGAGGGACATCCAACTTTTTTGTCTTTCAAATAAATCCAGCCCATTCAAACTTATTTGCAAATAAGGAAAATCCCTTTATATATACCAAAATTACCTCCAATTCATTGAAACCCAATTCAACTCCAATTTCATGATTTACACCCCAATTTAGCTCAATTTCATCAATTAACCAATTTTAACCATAATTGCAATTTTGACCCGCCACCACCGGAGACCGCCGGTCTCCGGCGTTGACTTTTTTTTTTTTTTTTTTTTTTTGAAAAACTTTTTTTCCCCAGAATTTTTTTCCGGCCGGTCAACTACCGTTGACCGCGGTCTCCGTCGTTGACTTTTTTTTTTTTTTTCAATTTTGTTTTTTCTTAAAAAAAATATTTTAATTAATATTACTGTCATGGCTGCTAAATTACTGTCTCCGGCAGTTATTTAACTGTCGGAGACAGTAATTTAACTGTAAATTGACTTTTTTTTTTTCCTTCAAAAATATTTTAATTAATATTATTGTCTTTGCTACTAAATTACTGTCTCCAGCAGTTATTTAACTGTCGGAGACAGTAATTTAACTATTAATTGATTTTTTTTAAAAATATTTTAATTAATATTACTGTATTCGTTGCTAAATTACTACCTCCAACAGTTATTTAACTGTCGGAAACAGTAATTTAATTGTTAATTGACTTTTTTTATTCTTTAAAAAATATTTTTAATTAATATTACTGTATTCGTTGCTAAATTACTGTCTCCAGCAGTTATTTAACTGTTAATTGACTTTTTTTTTTTCTTAGAAAAAATATTTTAATTAATATTACTGCCTTGGCTGCTAAATTACTGTCTCCAACAGTAATTTAAATGTCTTAGACAATAATATTAATAATATTACTGTTCGGGAAAATAGTATTCATAATATTACAGTCCCAAACAGTAATATTACTGTCTGAGACAGTAATTTAGTAGTCAAGATAGTAATATTAATTAAAATATTTTTTTTCTAAGAAAAAGAAAAAAAAAAAAAAAAAAAAGTCAACGCCGGAGACCGGCGGTCAACGGTGGTTGACCGGCCGGAAAAAAATTTCAGAAAAAAAAAAGTTTTCAAAAAAAAAAAAAAAAAGTCAACGCCGGAATCTGGCCGGAAAAAAAAAACATTTCAGAAAAAAAATTATGTTTTGAAAAAAAAAAATTGGGGGTTAATGTGATATATTTGTTTAAATCCGGGGTCAATGTGTAATATTAAGGAATTTAGATAATGGGTGGAATTGATAAGAATTATATTATGGAGGGTATTTTAGACTTAAGACATGGGGATGAGTTTAATTGAGAGACTGTTTTTTTTGTGGACCAAAATGTATTTAAGTCCCATGTGATGGGCCTTTTTGCCATTCGCCCTTACCTAAATAAACAAATTAAACCTGATAAATGAAATTTATAGAATCAAAAGGAAAAAAATCAAATACACAAGTCACAAAATGTCAGACGTGGGCTTTGGTCCAGATAGTACTTTTTATGTATTATTTTAATATTATCTTCATTTAGCTTTCATGTACAGTCAGAGCCGGTTTTGAGGGGAGGCGAAGTAGGCGGTCGCCTAGGGCCCCCGGATTTAATCAAAAATATGGGGCGGCCAAATCGCCTTATCTC